CAATGCAGACTTTTTTAATGTCGTGGTGGTGGGAGCATTTTTCTCTCAAGGACTTTGTGATTTTTTCGTGAGAACACCTCGTCGAAAAGATGATTCTTCTGCCCCATACCCAATTTTCGCTTAACTTTCATTGCGGTGGTTGTTAGCCAAGCTGCAGTCTTTTCTCCTAGTGAAGCGTCAGGTGCTTTTACACGTTCCCAGGCTCGGTTCTCAAGAATCCAATCAGCTTTGTGTCTGTCTTTCAAATTTTTTATAAGGCGTATGCAATATCGTGGTCTCTTGCAGCACGATCCAATGGGTTTTTTCCAGGATCTCCGTGCTAACCTCTTCTTTAATTTAGTCCCCGCTGAAAATATACATATACAGTGTGAGAATGAAAAAAAAAATCTCCTAATCTGTCGCACACTTACGTCCCAGGAACTGATACGAAGGTACGTGAGTTCTATCGGAAGATTATTTATCAGAGAGTTTACAACACCTTCACCCTTGTACGTTAACATGAGAACTGTTGATGATGCGTTAGCATATCTACATATATACTTTTACACATTCCCTATTCGAACGCCACACGATGAAGGTTGTTCAACAGAGCAGTCATTACCCATTGATAACTTGGATTTTACAGCAAAAACTCAACATAGTAAACATGGTAAATTGTTACCGAATTCGTTTCGCGCTATCATCTGCGGACCAAGCGGATGTGGAAAAACGAACGTAATGCTGGCGCTGTTTTCCATCCAAACGGTGCTAAGTTTAAAAATGTTTACGTTATTATTCAAAATCGTTGTATCAGCCAAAGTATCAACTGCTTCAAGAAGTGATTTCGCTGCTAAGGGTGTTGGCTATTTCCATTAAGGATAACGAGGAAATTATAAGTCCAAGTAAGGCTAAAAATAGCTCTATATTCATATTTGACGACGTGTCGTGTGACGGTCAGCAGAAAATTCGAGTAGTATTACTCCATGTGTCGTCATAAAGATATCGATGCTGCATATCTCTGCCAAACATACTCTAAAATTCCAAAACAGCTCATACAGACAACTGTAACATTATAGTACTATTTAAGCAGGATGAAATTAATCTAAAACATATATTTGATGAGCATGTATCTCCAGATGTTACTTTTTGATGAATTCAAAAGATGTTCGGAATGTTGGGCTGAAAAGTACGGTACGTTAGTTATTGTTAAAGACTTTCCCTTAATTATGGTATACAGAGTAGGATTTGATAAGTACATAAAATTGTAGGCTTATCATGTACGCCATCATTCAGTAACATGATGTCAAAGGACCAAGTTGCCGTTGCTAGTCATAAACGAAAGATCGCAGAACTTGCTCGAGCTATACGTAAAAAGTATCTTCTTTAAAGTTAGGTCGAACTGCAGAAGATGAATCTATTAGAAAACTTTTCAAACCAATATCTGAACCTCTTAAGCAAATAGCTAAGACTCAGCAGTATCCTCATTTAGTATTAAAAAAGAGGGAAAATTGAACAGGATGATGATGATGATGGATGATATTCACACAGAACCCAAACATCTCAATTTAGAAGACGTGGCTTTCAACTGATGAACAAGGTATATATACCGCCGAAGACCTGAAACACCACCACTACCTGAAGAAATGCGTCCTGCTGATTTTTCACAAGAAGCAATAGAAGAAACTTAGATCAATATCCCCCAATAA